TTATCCGTAAGATTTCTGTGTGAAAATAGTTACAAAGTTATAATATAGTATAATGTCGATGACTACAAATATACCTTACTTTTCACTATTATTTGAATGACATTTTACTTCTGTATACTGTACTTCAATTTTAAAAGTGAAGTAAGTATTCCATACTTGTATTATTAATACAAATAATACTTTACTAGACTAATTGACACTATTTTTTGTCGTATACTGTGATTATACATATTCTAAATTTAAATTATAGTGAGACAACGTTCATCGAATCTCTAACTACGCTTAAATCAATATTATATTGGGATGTTGTCTTAAAATAATTAAAATATAGAGTACAATTATAATCAATATGCAACAAAACAATATCTATTATGCTTATAAAGTATTATCTGTATTAATAACATCATTTATTTAGCTTTTAAATATATGAAATGTCTGTCGTTCCAATATATTGAAATAACTTGTTTCTTTATGAATTTTATGTAATTTAGTATCAAAAATACCGTTATTTACAGTAAAAAAACTAATTGTTTGCTTGATACTTTTCTCCGAAGTAAAAAATACCATTTTTTACATCTCTATTCAATCGTGTGTTAAGTAACGATGAAAGTAACTGTAAAATTCGTTACCAAAAAGATGTAACTAAGTTACCGTTACAGTTACCAAAAAGAAAAAGTAACGCAGTAAAGTTACCCAAAAAGTAACTTGTAACTGTAACTTCGTTATAAGTAACGAGTTACTTCCATTCCCTGGTATTTTATATCAAAATACATGTGTTACAATAAAGTATAAAATATCTCTAAAATAAATATCTTGTATCTTCGATGTTTTTTGAGATGTTTGTCTAAGATAATTAAAATAGAATATCCTATATATATATATATATATAGAGTGTCCCATTTTAAATAATTAAGATTTCTCGAAAACTATGGTAGATACGGAAAAATGTTTCAAACAAAAGTTGTATGGTTCGGAAAGGAATATGAGAAGGTACCATTGATTTGGTCTTGAGTGACGTCGTTAAGGTCAGATCAAAGTCACATCGATCTCTTTAAATGGAATATCCTATTTTTTTATGCCAGAATTTAATAGCTGGTGTCAAGAGCTTTTTAAAACACTATAATAAAGTTATTTTTCATTAAGTACTTTTCGAATTATAAGACTTAAAAGTTACAGTACCGCCGGCATTAGCATTACGCATGATATCCGATTGACGGCTAAAATCTTTTGAATGTTGTTCCTGGATAACATTTATCAAGATCAAAGTGTAAGAAGTTTGGCGAAACTTAGAATGATGTCAGGAACGGTCTCGCCGAATATAGCGGCTGTATACGGGGATAATATTAATATATATATATATACATATATATATAGACTAGGGATCCGATCTTATCGGGAAGGAAACCTAGAACCTTGAAGGGGCTTGAGGATCAAGCCAACTAGTCGATAACGCACAAAATAAGCTTTATTGTCGTACACTGTACACACACGTGTCTCGTACCCGTTACCCGCTATAACAACAATGTCGTCGTTTTCTCCACCGTTACCTCTGCAGCGCAAGCATCGCGGAACTACTTTCCTCTAGGCCAATCAGCGCCTAGAAGGACTGCGCGCGGTACACTCCGCGCGTAACATAACGCTTTAAAAAGTAAACTTTGTAACTGGTAATATTGTCGTTTCTTACAGCTCGGCCATCCTATCCTTTCGTTCGTCCCGAACGATCAGGAAACATTAATTGTAAAATAAAAGAAATAATTTGAACACTTGCATATAACATTTTCTTAATCATGAGATCGGTTTGAGCTAAACAAAACAATTGCACTTACATTCAATACTGATATACGTACACATATAAATTCACAAGTCAATGAGGCGTACAAAAACTCTTACATACTAAAGATTAAAAATATTTAGTAAGGTCGCGAATGGACATAGAGGTTTCTCTTTTTCTCTTAAAAATAAAACCAAATTATAATAATACACTATAACTATTGTTAGATATTCAGTATAGGACGATCAAAGATGCGTGCCACTGCGGGCGTAGAAGCTAGGGATCCATTTAGAAGAGAGGAACTCGCGTCCCTAGTGACTAGTTAGATTGGCGTGTGTGTACCGATTCCTTCCTTCGTCTTCGTTTTCAATGGCGGTTGTATTCTGTGTGCCTTCCACGTGCTTGTACAAAACGACCAGAAAATATACTCAGTTTTTGTCTCTAACATCTGCGTTTTCCTTTCATACCCAACAAAGAACTGGTGACGAGGATGGGATCCGTCTCGATTTGAGTGTCAGACGATCTCAAGGAAAGTGATCTCTAGCGATATTGAGACACGCCGGGGTGTGGTTATCGGTACATGAGTCGAAGAGGCGCACACAAGGAGGCCATTACGTGGAAGGATCTAGAATCCAAAATAAAAAGTAAATATATATACGGCGAAGCTCGACTACCATATGGCGGAGGTAGTACAGTATTACATGGAAGTTTCAGCATTGACACCTTCGATCCGTCTACCACAGATTGGAAAAGGTGGTTACAAAGGTTCGTGGCCGCCACAAAAATTTTCAAAATACCAGAGGATCACAAAGCAATGTACCTGTTGCATTTTATCGGATCAGCCACTTTCAATGTAATATGCAATAAGTTAGCACTAGCGGACCCTTACGCCGCAACGTTTGAGACACGAAGTCTGGCAGAATTTTACGCGCCGGAACCATTAGAAATCGCGGAAAACTTCCAGTTTTATCAGTGCAAACAACAAGAAGGCGAGAGCGTAAAAAAGATTTTGTAGCTGCATTGCAGAAATTGAGTGTCCATTGCAACTTTGAGAGTTATTTGAAAAATGATTCGGAATCGTTTTTGGATTGGCTAGCCGCCGAGCTCAATCTCGATTACTGGAAACGAGGGACCTCACGTTCGACAAGGTAGTGCAGGTAGCTACAGCTTTGGAATTATCGGAGAAGGATGCGCAGCAACTTCAAGCTGG